GTGGACATGTGCATGCCACTGCACTCCAACCTGGGTGACAGAATAGACTCCTACTTGAAAAAAAAAAAAAGAAAAGCCTTTTGACCGAGCCTCAAGGATCTATGTGACCTCCCCCTGCCATTCTGTCCTCCAGAAATGCCTTTCCTCTCCATTCTGTCCTCCAGAAATGCCGAGCCACTAACACAGGCACATACTAGATCTCAAAAAACAATTTAGTTTCCTCAACTCACTGCCCTGTGTGCCTTTTGCATGGGCAGCACCTTCTGCCTTTCTTTCTGCACTTCACCAGGCTACTACTTCCAGATCTTCTAGGACATGCCTCAGCATCACCTTCTCAGATCTTCCTTGACTCCTCAGGCTGAGGGGGGCCCTCCTCTAGGCCCAAGGGCTTGGAACACGTGTGCTGTGTTAGCTGTATCCGCTCTGTGCTCTAGGGCAGCCTTTGTCTTACTTCTTCATCCTCGACCTCAGTGTAGAACCAGACCTTACATTGATCAGACAATGCTAATAGTTGGAAAAGAAGGGCCTGAACTAACTCCCAAAGACTGGGTTGATTGGGGAGGAAGGAAGCAAATGCCCCAGGGTGTTTTGCAGCAAGAACCCCTCTATAATAATTTAACACGTCACATTTATCTGCCCAGCAGTTTGCAAAGTACCTATACTGTACAAGTATCTCTTTCTACCTTTTTTTTTTTTTTTTTGAGTCAGAGTCTCACTCTGTTGCCCAGGCTGGAATGCAGTGGCACGTTCATGGCCACCGCAGCCTGAATCTGCTGGACTCGGGCAATCCTTCCACCTCAGCCTTCCAAGTAGCTGGAACTACAGGCGCATGCTATCAGGTCCAACTTATTTTTTTATTTACTGTAGAGACAAGGTCTCACCAAGTTACCCAGGCTGGTCTCGAACCCCTGAGTTCAGACAATCCTCTCACCATGGCCTCCCAAAGTGCTGGGATTACAGGCTTGAGTCACCACACCCAGCCCTTTTTGAACCCAATGATGATTATCTCCATTTTTTATTTTTTTAAGTCAGAGTCTCACTCTATTGCCCAAGCTGGAGTGCATGGCTCACCGTAGCCTCGACCTCTTGAGCTCAGCCGATCCTCCCTCCTCAGCCTCCTGAGTAACTGGGACTACATGTGCCACCATGTCTGACTAGTTGTTTGTTGGGATGAGGTCTTGCTATGTTTCCTAGGCTGGTTTTGAACTCCTGGGCTCAAGCAATCCCCCTGCCATATCCTCCCAAAGTGCTGAGGTTGCAGGTGTGAGTTACTGTGCCTAGCAGATCATTTCCATTTTACTGACAAGGAAACAGAAGAACAGAAGAGGTGAAGTGACTTACCTAACAGGGCACAGCAAAGGCCCATGATTAATGTTTGCTGAAGGAAAATGAGCCAGAGCCCCATCCTCACTATATAGGGCAAGGTCAAGGGCGCTGTCCCAGGGATGAGCAGGGCTTAAGAAGAGGCCTCTGTAGTCTCAGGGAATCACATGTCCTTGGGCTGGGAGCTGGCATTCTCCCCTCTACACATACATACACTGGATTTATCAAGCCCTTCCAGGGGTTTCAACCTTAGGTCAGTAATATGGCTGAGCGCCTACTATGTGCAGTTTTCTCCCTGTTCTCTGGAGTGGAATGAGAGGGCCTACTATGTGCAGCTTTCTCCCTGTTCTCTGGAGTGGAATGAGAGGGACCCTGGAAGAACAGGACATGCCCTTGCCTCAAGAAGACACAGTCTGAGAATTGAAGCAGATGCCACCAAGGCCTCCAGACTATAACTGGAGACCAAGAAGGGAGAAACAAATTAATCCTGATGGACAGCCCATCCTGCCTCCAGGTCCTTCCCCTACCAGTCCTCCTTCTTCCCTACCTACTCTCATTTTTGCTGGGTCTAAAAATCAAACTCACTATCTCTTTTTATGAATTGATCATGCCCTTAATTAAAATGCAGGAGTGTTCCTTCAGGGTCCAGCCTTGACTCTAAGACCCAAGCTTGACTCAATTCCTGAGCTACTATACAAACTTAGGTGAACACCTTGGTCCCTCTGAACCTAAATTTTCTCATCTTTATGTTAGAGAAAATGATCCCTGCTCTGCCCTCTCCTCATTTCTCAGGTTCAGGTGTGCATACAAACAAAAGCAGAGGGTGCCAAGCCCTGCAGGAATGCAGAGGTGTTGTGCTTGCGATGGTTCCCTGGAAACTTTTGTAATGCCCGAGTGGCCACACCTCCAACATTTGCCCGTTCTACCTGGTGCCAAGTAAAGGCCCTTCAGATAGTTGTGCTAGAGCCAAGAAGCCAGAGCTAGGCTGAGTTCCAGGCCCTCTGCACACTCCCAAGTTGGGCGTGAAAGCAGCTGAACTATGAATTTAAGTCTAAAAACCTCCCCAAGTGTTTTGGGTTGCAACCAGGTTTGAGAAACCAGGTAGAGATGCCAGAGATTAAAATTCAGACAGAGGCATAGTTCCTTCTCCAATCTCCTGAATCTGCTTTTCTTATTCTCAGTCTGGAACATTGCCTCTCTTCCTTCATTGATGCTAGAAATGAACTTGACCTCTAGACTTATTCTTGTCCCTACAGATAACCCTCTCCAGATGGCCTAGTAGCCTACAAGCCATCTGGACTCCCAAGCCCAGGATCAAACCCAGAGGGCAACCAGTTCTGACATGGGAGTGGGGGTACAAAGTCCCTGTCCTAAGAAAGCCCACTGGCCAAGGGTAAACCCAACTTTGATGGAGGCGGGTGGAAGTGGAGGGGTCATGAGAGGAAAGGGATGAAGGTCTCCTTAAATGCCTCTCATACCCTATTGGGGTCAGACTTCAACCCTCCCATAACCCCCCTAGGTACTTCGCAAAGCCTCTCCCAGGCCTTCTTGGTGGCTCTGCTTTTCCTTTCCTTCACTCTGTCTCCTCTGTGGATACCCCTCCCTACTCTCCAACACGCACTCTTGGTTCATTCGGTGATGCCTACTCTGTACCAGGCTTTGTGCTAGACCCTGAAGGTACAAGAATGAATCAGACCAGACCATCATTGTCCAGGGGTCTAGAGGAGAAAATGAACAAGTAAATGGAAGATGACAACCCAACAGGCCAAGTGCCGAGAAAAAAAAGAATGAGGTTGACCGGGCACAGTGGCTCACGCCTATAATCCCAGCACTTTGGGAGGCTGAGGTAGAAGGATCACCTGAGCCCAGCAGGTTGAGGCTGTGGTGGCCATGAGCATGCCACTGCCCTCCAGTCTGGGCAACAGAATGACACTCCAACTCAAAAAAAAAGCGAGAGAGAATGGGGCTGAAGCAGAATCCTTGGGGGACACTTTGTCAGCTTGGGGGCAGGGAAGGCTCTGGTGTCTGTTTTCCCCTCCACAGTAAACTCCTTAAAAGCCTAGGCCTGGGTCTGATTCATTTCCTGACCCACTCTTTCATTTCCTGGATGTCTTTGGGATTCCGGTAGGTCACTAGGCCATCCGGAGAGGGTTATCTGTAGGGGCAAGAATAAGTCTAGAGGCCAAGTTCATTTCTAGCATCAATGAAGGAAAAGAGGCAATGTCCCAGACTGAGGATAAAAAAAGGGAATTCGGGAGGTAGGAGAAGGAACTATGCCTGTCTCTGAGTCTTAATCTCTGACATCTCTACCTGGTTTCTCAAACCTGGCTGCAGATCAAAACACTTGGGGAGGTTTTTTAATTTAAACTCACAGTTCCAAACTGACCAATTAGAGTTTCCAGGGGCTGGAGGTCCAGGAATCTGCTTCCCCGGTTGATTCTAATTCCCTGCACTGTGTTTAGACACCTCTGGTCTAGAGTCCCGTGACAGTAGGGAACTAAGAGAGTGGGTGCTAAGGTGGTTCCCACCACCCTGAGGTTACAGGAAGATGAGTCATGGTCTGAACCTGAGAAGAGGCCATGGTTCCTGAGCTATGCATAGGTGTGGCAGGGAGAACCTTCCCACCTTTGGGGACACTAGCCTCTTGGACACTCTGTGAAGTCTCTCTTGTGACAGCACTCATCTCTACCTGTACTTGCATTTTCTGTCTTAGAAATGGAAATATTAGGCCAGGCATGGTGGCTCATGCCTGTAATCCCAGCACCTTGGGATTGCCTGAGCCCACAGGTGAAAGGATTGCCTGAGCCCACAGGTTCGAGACCAGCCTAGTAAAATTGGCGAGACCTCATCTCTACAATAAATAAATAAAAATTAGCTGGGTATGGTGGTACATACCAGTAGTTCCAGCTACTTATAAGTCTGAAGCAGAAGGATCACCTGAGCTCTAAAGAAAAGAAAAGAAGAAAGAAAAGAAAAGAAATGGAAATATTTACTCTGCACAGAACAAAAGATGCTGACTAAGCTCTAATTTTGCCTAATTCAATCTTATGATCTAGGGACTTTGGCTTCTCCCCTACACAACTGCTGAGATTTTTTTTTTTTTTTTTTTTTTGAGTTGGAGTCTCACTCTGTCACCCAGGCTGGAGTGCAGTGGCACACTGGTGGCCACTGCAGCCTCAACCTGCTGGGCTCAAGCGATCCTTCCACCTCAGGCTTCCAAGTAGCTGGAACTACAGGTAGGGACCACCACGCCCTGCTAATTTTTTGATTTATTGTAGTGATGAGGTCTCGCCAAGTTGCCCTCAAACCCATTTGCTCAGGCAGTCCTCTCACCTCAACCTCCCAAAGTGCTGGGATTATATGCGTGAGCCACCATGCCCTGCCACTGCCAAGACTTGAGCAGAGCCTTGTCTGAACTTTGGGTCTCAGAATGATAGGACAGAATCTGTGGCCTGCTTGGCCCGACTTTGAAGTGCCCCCCTTCTGAAGCCAGCTCAAAAGGCAAGAGTGAGGGGGAGATTCTGGTGGGAAATCTGAATGGGTGCCACGCCTCCCAGGACACCATCCCCCTGCTCAAATTTGAGGTCTCCCTCTACAACCCCCGGGTGATTAGGCCTGATTCTCTGAAGGAAAAGAGGCCATTTACTTTCTTCACCCCTTCCTCTCCCCTGATGTACCTCGAGAGTATGCCCAAAGAGCCAGTGGGTAGGAGGCCCTGGGAAGCTGTCCATGGCTCTGGCCAACTTCTGCTTCCGCAGCAACAGATGGATGAGCTTGAAGAAGCCTAAAACCAAGACCAGTCCAGAAGCCCACAGGCCCAGGCGGGAGAGGCTCAGGGAGAGAAACCCTGGCACCATGGCTGAAGTTGTAGCCACCCAGTCTCTGACCTGCCTCCAGCTGCTCCTGGATTCCTTTATACTCTTGGATCCAGGCACCCTGCCAGCTTCCACCCCCAGGCACTCCCTGCAGCCAGCAGCAGCCCAGGTTGGGATGAGTGCCAGAGAGTGGAGACAACAACCCCAAAAGTCATAGACAACAGAGGAGAGAGCCTAGCTGCTTTCTCCCAAAACAAGGCTGAAGAGAAACCTGGTAGTGGGTTCCAAAGAAACCAGGCAATGGACATTCCACCCTGGTTCCTTGGAGGAGCAGACAGACAGCAATTCTTGGTGTAATCATCAGCAAAATAACAACTGCCTTCTCATACAAGCCACTTGTATATTTTGAGCATTTTTATATGCTATCTCATTTAATCGAGACAATATGCAGGTCACAGGTACTCACTTTTTACTCCCATTTCCCAGATAATGATACTGAGGCTCAGCTTGCCTGTGCTTTCTTGCAAAATAGCTTCCACTGTCCCTTTCAATGTGAACTCTTGGGAAGGCTTGGGTTTATGCCAGGCTTGCAATACTTTGAGTTCTTTTATGTGAAGCACCTTCAGAGACGCAGTTCTAGAAAAGGGTCATCTCCACTCCTGAAACCACAGTACAAATTTGACACTTGGGAACACACACTATTATTTTCAGGGTGGTGAGGAGAGATTATTAAATTCAATCCCTGTGATTGCATGGAACCACTTAGGTCCAGCAAGAGCTAGGAAAATATCCAAAGTTGGAGAGCAAGGCAGTGGCAGCTCTCAATGCCCCAGCCCAGAGTTTTGTGAAACAACAAGCTTGGCCCAGACCCTTGCCTGGGGAGGATCCGCTGTTTCTCTCTCCAGTATTGAATTGTATGAATCAGGATCCCAGCAGGAAGCAGAATTCACTGCAGATGTTTGAGATGAAGAACGTGGATGCAGGGCTCCTTTCAGAGAGAGGGTCAGGCAGAGTTAAGAAATCAAACAAGGTACGATGTGGCATCCAGACACTAGCAACAGCAGGAAACCCATCAACATCCCTAGATTGAAGGAACAAGGGGAAGAAATTGTGTTCCTGGAGCCTGGTGGGAATTGTACTTAGGCGAAACAAGGATAGTGTCAGGAAGGGGTGCTGGAACAGGAAAGGAACAGAAAAGAAATGTACTAAGCCCTTTCCTCTTCCACCCTCCAGTCTCTTACTCGTGTCTCCCATTGGCTTAACCCAGAAGTGAGATAACAAGAGAGCCTGGGGGCATCAGTCTATGGCAGTCAGCCTCTCAGCAGAAAGAAGAGCAAAGACGGTCTGGCAAGGTAGTGGCAGGGGCAAACTAGCACCCAGGTAGACTTAGACCTCAGATCTCAGAACTCAGGTTGCTGGCACTGAGACAGAGAATGATAAAGTGTCAACAAGGCAGTGTCAATAAAGTATCTCTTCTGGCAGAGGAGACCAAGCCTCCTCCTCTGCTAGGGACATGTCTTATCCAGTCCTTCCCATACATAGATAACACAAGAAGATAATGCAATGAAAGGAACTCCAAAAGTGTCTTCTGCATTGGTCTGGCACACTTCCTGAAATTCCGTATTTGTGCTTCATTTTATTGGATCAAGACATGGAGTGGTTCATTGAAAATGCAAGTTACCCAGGTCAGAGAATAAGAGAATATGATGAGCTGGGTGTTAAACCCAAATTTCAGAATCCGAGAGACCAACAAAGAGCCAGCTCTGATGCAAACACACAAGGGTCTTTATTCAGGCTCGAGTCTGGGCTCACGCCCGAAGCAGCAGCTTCAGGGACGAGAGCCCCGATCCAGCATGGCAAGCAGTTTTTATACATCATTACAGAGGGAGGGGAAAGAACTTTAAACTTGTTTTTACATGATAGGTTAATTTCTCCTAATGGGTACGGGGGCACTTGGGATTGGTCTGGTCCGCTCAGCAACCTGTGATTGATGGGGGAGCTGCTAAATGAGCAGAGTGGAATGTCAGATAAGCTAGGTTTAGCAAGCAGGCAGGCTAAGCAAAGGAATGTCCGGGAGAGGGTTTATTACTTGACATTCACATACTGCTAGCAGCAGTTGCGGAAGCAATCAGTTATTTTATGAGACAAACAAAAATTAAACTTAACAAAATTCTAAGTACAAACACTGCAAACAAATACAGTGAACGTGGAGTAGGAATTCATATAGTAATAGTTCTCTTAGAGTGTTTTTTTTTTTTTTTTAATCTCTTGGGTCTCTCACTGGGCTCGGTGGCTCAGCCTGTAATCCCGCACCTTTGGTAGGCTGAGGTGAGTGGATTGCCTGAGCCCGCGGGTTCGAAACCGCCTGGGCAGGCTAGACCTTATCTCTACACTAAAATCAAAAAATTAGCCGGGCGTGGTAGCGCACGCCTGTAATTCCGGGTACTCGGAAGGCTGAGGCGGAAGGATCGCCGGAGCCCAGCAGGTCGAGGCTGCGGTGGCCGGGAGCGGCCACTGCACTCCGGTCTGGGCGACACAGTGAGACTCTGACTCAAAAAAAAAAAAGAGAATATGATGAGCTAGCAATAGACTTCCATTCTTGATGGTGAATGTGTTTATCAGCATGGTCCCAACCTGGCAGTGTAATGAAGGGAGTGTTTTGGGGGGCTGAGGAGCACAAGGTAAAAGCTATAAAAGAGACCTGAGCCCTGCAAACCTACAGCTATGGTTAGAACTATCAAATCTTTGTTGTTTCTAGCTTGCTCTTCTCCTTGCAAAATTGTTTACACAGTCACTTCAATAGGGAGCAATTGATTGTCTTCTTGCCCTGACATGGGAGGAGGAAGCTGATCTTGAGGTTGATAAACATATTTTCCCTGAAGTTGCACCAATCTCCTTGATCACATCCTGAAGTCTGATCAGCCAAAAGGCGTGGCAGCTCTAATCTCCAGGGACCTCACTTCCAGCATACTTTCCTCCTAAAACTACCTTTATAATGGCTTACTGCCTGGGGTCAATAGCTGATGGTTGCAGGACTTGCTTCACAGATAGCATCTATTATAAAACGTAAGAATAGGGTTTGAAATGTTTTTCGGATTTTGCACTCTGATAGACTCCAGGCCTCTCCAGGACCCATACCCAGAAGCTGACTCCGCCAGTTTTAGAGCCTCTTCCCAGAAACTAGTGCTGTGACACGCCCCCCCCATGACTTCATCCCCAACCAATCAGCAGGGCCCATTCCCTAGCTCCCTGCCCACCAAATTATTCCTTTAAATACCCTAGCCTCCGCTGGGCACATGCTAGTTTATGCCTATAATCCCAGCCCTTTGGGAGGCTGAGGGAGAGGACTGGCCGAGCTCACGGGCTGGGCAACTTGGTGAGACATCAGGCTAGGTGGCTCAGCCTGTAATCCCGCGCCTTTGGGAGGCTGAGGTGAGTGGATTGCCTGAGCCCGCAGGTTCCAGACCCGCCTGGGCAGGAAGACCTCATCTCTACAATAAATCAAAAAATCAGCTGGGCGTGGTAGCGCATGCCTGTAATTCCAGCTACTCAGAAGGCTGAGGCGGAAGGATCGCCGGAGCCCAGCAGGTCGAGGCTGCGGTGGCCGGGAGCGGCCACTGCACTCCAGTCTGGGCGACAAAGTGAGACTCCAACTCAAAAAAAAAAAAAGAAATATCCACTGTCCTCCTCCCTCAGCTGCTTTGTAATATTACCCTCTTTCTCTATGGTAACAACTGTTGCCAGTGTATTGGTTTTTCTAGGCAACAGGCATAAGAACTCTGTCAGGCTATAACACGGGGGTATGCAGTGACTTGGGCTGGTGAGGGAGGGGCCTGCAGAAGACCTGAAGAAGAGAGCAAGCTATGAATGCACTAATCCTTGTGGGAGATGATGACCTTGGACAGGGAGGCAGCAGAGGGCATGACTTTGGGCTGGTGATATGGAAGGGCTGGAACTCAGCATGGGTTGGCAGGCAGGGAGAGAAAGTCAGTGGGAAGACTAGCAGGGTGAATATTGCTTGTAGCCTCAGAAGTCCTGCATACCTTCCCCGGCCAGAAACCTGGCTCAGCACTCATGGTCTGTTTGTCACATATTCTGCTCTCCACTCCTTGGCTGAAATCTGGCAGCCATTCTTGCTTCTAGGGCAAAAGGCAAGTTGCCTTGTGGCCAGAGTAAGAGACTGAGCTACAGTCAACTCCCAGGTCCTGGTCCTCCTAGCTACTCTCTCCCAATCACCTTAGCAGCGTGGTTTTTAGAAGCAAAAATTCTTAGAAGCTTCCACCACTAGTCTTAGTTCTGTCCTCAAGGGCCTCATAGAAAACTTCAGTTATTTAGAAAAAAAAAGACTTGGAGATAATCCCCAATCCGTGAGTATGCTGGTATGGGCTGACTCAAGAGTAGACTGTATGCATCATTTTCCAACTCTAGGTTCAGTGACATTGTATTAGTAGCTTGAAATTTGCCATCATAGGAGCATTTACACCACAGAAATTGGAAAATACTACAAAAAATACTTTTTCCCTGGAGAGCCAGTTGTTAACATTTTCCTATACATCATTGCCCCAAACAACACCCCTAAGCCCTGCAGAGTTCGCAGCTCTCCTCAACCAGTGGTACTTGCCTAAAAGACCACCATTAGGCAGGCCTACATAGGAAGGCCTGAAGAGGGAAGTTTCTTTTCAGAATCCTTGAGGAAAAAAATCTACAGGTCTTCAGCAACCATTAATTAATTACCATTTGTCAGAGGAAGCCTGGGGCTATGGGAATAGGAAGGTGAGAGTGTTAGAGAGATGGAGACAATGAGAAATGAGACTACCTTTATCTAAGTCCTTCCTGACTACTCTTCTCCTCCAGGAAGCCTTCTTCCACATCCTTCCACTCTGGAAACACCAATTAGAGTCAGTCTTCTACATACATCGACCTCAATTTCCCAGGGAGGTCAGGCAAACCGAGTGTGAATTCTTGAAAGAGAAGGAGCTAGATGTAAACAAAAATAAAATTTTAAGCCCCTCAACCAACTGAAGGACCTCCTCTATGCCAAAGGAAACCTGAAAAACTAAATCCCAAGCCATGACAGAAAAGGAGGTTGAACAAGCCTTGTTATACTCCCTTCCTTGT